GCCACGAAGGCCTAATACAATTTTCAAACTATGATTATTCAATTCTTTTTAATTTTATCTATTTATTTCTTTATTGTTTTTAAAATATTAAAATTATTTTTATTTGGTACTAGACATGAACCAATCAATTGAGAAAAAAAAAACTTCATATAGAAATGCTAAACCTTATCAATTTTTCATAATTAATTAAATTAGCCATGCATATTAATTCAGCGGTCGATTTTTATTTCATTCTTAATTTATAGAATATTTTTGTATTGAAACTGCAAGAAAAAAAATTGAAAAAAAGCAAACAATAGGTATTAAAAAAAATATTAATAAAATATTAAATATAGGTATTAAAATATTAAATATTAATAAAAATAATATATAGGTATTAAAAATATAACCGAACGTAGCCAATTTTCTTCAATGCATCTTAATATGACATTTTACGCCTTTGTTTTTTTTTTCGTATAAAAATAATGACCTCCATATTTTTACACATTTTTTCTCTCAAAAAAATACGACGTAAGATCTAATAAGGTTATTTTGCTTCACATACTACATGCTAACTCATAACTGTATTAATATATTGCTTTATGAATTTATGAAACCGTAATAATCTATTATTTGTAATGTTTTCGTATGAATATTATATTCTTCAGTCCATCCCATATTATATACTAATGATAATAAGTTGTTTATATAATTAGATAATTTTTAAACATCCTTCAGATTTATAAATTATTTTAAAAATAAACTTTATTTTAACTTTGTTTTTTCACTCTCAGCTGTCAGTAGTTCCGACAAATAAAATAAACTTAAAATGCGAAATAATATAATATTAAATCCCTTGTAATCAAGTGAAAATATTATTATTCGTTATTCATTATTCATATTACTCTAAACTACACATGTAAAATTATAAGAATTCGTGAATGCCAGTTTAAATAAAATAGTTTAACATTATCGAATATTCCAAAAATAATTAGTCTCTTGATATTAATATACTTAACTATATAATTATGACAATGTAAATAAATAATTTATCGTTTATTCAAAATTTAATACTTGTTCTTCCAAAAAAATATAATATGATTCATTATTATACATTTGAAACTAACTTCTATTAAGTATAGCAATTAAAATCAATTTTAAACTAATTTCTATCATGCATAGCAATTAAAGTCAGTTAGAACCTTATTTCTATACAAATGTACGGAGTTATTTAAATAAAAAAATTCATTTCAATTTTTAGTTTTTCTTTTTCCTATTTTTTAGGTTATTTTATTTTATTGTCTATTGTATATACTTTTGATTATTATTTTGTTCTATTTATTTTATTTTTTTTACATATAGTGTGAATGTCATCCTACCTCACTATAACCAATGTCCAACAGACAGATTGTTATAATATTCAATAAAGAAATTTAAAAGAAAAAGTTTTTCTAGTTTTGGTGGGAAATACCCAACGTTCAGAGAAAATCTTCAATATATCGTATAAGAATTACCAGATTATTTCCATTTCACATTATTCCAAACTACATCATGTGCGAAAGTTGAGGAAATCTAAAAATACTTTCTCACCACTTTCCATATCGTCAGGATAACGCAGATTATGGAAAATAGCATGTAGGTTGGGAAAAAAAAAGATCATGTTTACGGATTGTACAGGATCCGGAAGTGAAACGGAATGATTTCTAATTATTATTTGTTTATATATTAATTATTAATTTCATATAATTTTTTTTGTTAAATTATATATTTTCTTTAAACTCCGCTTTCTCTGAATACCCTTCATTGAAATTTATGATTTTTGTCGTCATACCTTTAAGTATTATTGTATGATGATGCCTGACTTGGCGAAACGTTGACTGGTTTGTTTTCATTGTCTACTTTTTGGAGACATAAGGCTGTGTGGTTTGGAATTTTTCCAATTTTTTTAAATTTGTGTTCGCCTCTACCCTGGAGAGTTATTGGCGGTAATTCTTAATTTTTCTTAATTATCCGCTGTAATATTTTATTTTGATTAAATATTGGAAGGGAATGACGACATATTCCTCCCAGTCTCTCAAAATATCCTTTTCAATGAATCTCGTGGACAACTTTAATTTTTGTCCCTTCATTTCGTATCGGGGACACTCTAATAATAAGTGTTTAACTGTCTGAGGTGTATTATCACACTTTTCGCTGTTGGTGCTTCTAGACCTCATCATCTATAACTTCATTTTTTTTGTACACATGTATATTAATTTTCTTATTTTGTTTTCTGTATTTCTTTTTTTTTTATCATCTCTATTTTAGTTATTATTTTAATGAGGATATTGTGGGAATGATTAATGCACCTCTAATACTAATGCCCTTCAATTTGGCAGAATTTATTAATATTCAATTGATACAACAAACAAATTAGTAGACCTCTAAGAATATATCCGTGTGTTAAAAGACAGTGTCCAATTCGCATTAGCCTAAATATTATTTCTCACCTTCTCGATTTTCTGGAACTTGTAGCCAATTTGTTTTTGCACTCGGATTTTATTTCTAATCCTTCTTCAGAACGGTATGCTAAGAAAAATAGTGAGACACACGACTTTACAAAAAACACGAATGGACCTTTATTACACGCAGCCATATCAAATTCGTTGATAGACTTAAATACTGGATAAACTTTTTAAAACACTTGCTCCATTTATTCACAAACCTATGAGATGGCAGACATACATTCAAAACCTATTACTAGACTGAAAAATTGACATTTACAGAACACTAGTGAACCTCGTCACTAGACCATAACTATGAATAACCACAGTACTCCCAATTCCCCACCCTCCTCTTAAAATGCACTCTGTGCAGTACGAGAGGTCATGTTCAAGTCTCGTACTACCACTCTGTTCTCAACACCACATCATAAGGGGTTAAGAAAAAAAAAAAAAAAAACGAATTCTAATCATTTGTCTAGTTTTATTTTCTATTGGTTTTCCCAATTTTCTAATAGCTTTCCAAGTTATAACCTATCATTTATGTTCTGTCACTAGAATAGTTTGTTACTAATTTATATTAATATATATATAATAATAAAAATAAAAATTCTGAAATCTTATCATCACCAACCCACTCGTTTGTCAAAAGAATAATCTCGAATAAGAATATTTCTAACTATTAGAAAGAAATTTATGAAAATAGTAAGATTCTTTTATAATTTTGGTTTCAATCAAAATTATACTAGTTATAAGAAGTAAATTGTAAATTGTTTTTTTTTTCGGATTCAATAAGCGGAATTTTTCACTATTACAATGAATACGCCGAATAGAATGGGAAAAGATGGGTGCTATGTATAGATATGCCCAGGATAGTCACACATAAGACAATCATTGGTCCTGATTATAATAGTCGCGACACATTTTTCTTTTCTTTTTCCTCTAACGTATTTGCTTATAGACATCGGGAAAAAAAAAATCAGTGATCAGAACGATGGATACCGTTACATAAATAATCCGTTTGACAGGAGAGTTCCCACAGCACAACACTTGAGCAACGCTGTATTCTTTATTTGCTGAAATGTCAAACCACAAGTGCGGTTGTTGCGATCGGTTACAGTTTTGATCACGAGCTAACTATAATTTCGTTATACTTACCAAATTTGATACCAATATCTCTGGACGGATCAAATGTGTATTTACTCATTTCTGGTCTACGAAGCTTTGGGAATCATTTTTAAACTCTGCTTTTCCTTGTTCTGGGTTAGATTTCCTTTCTGACTATTCTGAATAACAAAGAAAAAAAAATTGTTGATGAATCATAATCACTAGAGCGTGGAAGTACACTGCACTAATTACCATGATTGCTGCCTTCATTGACTTGCAGATGAGCTGTACCTTTTCATTGGTTAATCGTAGAAAAAAAAAAAACTATTTCAGATTGCTCCTGTAGTCGCGTAATAGAGGTTTGGCTCCTTTCTCTGAATTTTCATCATCGTGGAAAAAATTACAACGATTTTCCTTCACGTAGGAAGACTATAAGAGAGCTATTTGAACAAACAGGAAACCGTTTTGAAACAGGAAAAATGTTTCTCCTCAGAAGACGATTTCCGATCCGCCCGACAGAAAGGCATCTCGTCCTTTCAGTGCCATTTTCCATCATTTAGCGTAATAACATTTCCTTTGACAACGGAGAACGGAATAACTGTTCGCCTTGCTGGATCAACTGTGGATGAAGGGCATACAACACTGACATGACTTGAGGTGATATTATCTCATTCCAAGAAAATGTGACATGTCTCGTTTTGTCAGATGGCATACAGTTTGGATTATTATTAATATTAGTTATTATTAATTAATTGTATTCTAACGTACAAACAACTCTTCTTAGCTCATATAAATAACTACGAAAAGTACACATGCATTTATACCGATGGGTCGAAAAAATCAGAATATGTTGGTTGTTCCGTTGTTCTACCTACGGAGACTATCCGCTACTCTCTATCCTCCATTTATTCAGTCCTATCCTCCGAGCTCTTTGCCATATATTTAGCGTTAGATATAATAATCAACGAAATTAACAATGACCACATTTTAATTATTAGTGATTCCTACTCAGCCCTCAAACTAATAGAAAACTTTCAATCATGCAACAACCCCATTGTCTTCCAAATTACACAAATTATTCAAATTACAAAAAAAAACGATAAAATTTTTGTGGGTCCCCAGTCACATAGGAATACCAGGCAATGAACTGGCTGATAGCGCCGCAAAAGAAGCATCCACCATACTTCCAGCACCAGACAATAAAATAGCGCTCTACGATTACAATAACGCAATTTTGAACCAGTGTAGAGAGGCCTGGCGATATTGTTGGGCAAAGGTTCCTATCACAAACAAAATGAAAAGAATGTTTCATGACATGAATCCACTTCCAGAGATTCAAGGAAACCGACGGGAGCAGACCATCATCACACGCCTCAGAATAGGGCACACCAGGCTCACGCATGGGCACCTACTCGACGGAAGTTCGCCACCAAGATGTCGCAGCTGCGATACAGCTTTAACAATGTTTCACATCTTGGAAAATTGTCCGAGCTTAGATTCATCAAGGACCTCATATCTGCTGTTAGGATATCGACAAGCCCTACGACCTGGAAATCAGAAACACCTACTCCAATTTTTGAAAAAACACAATTACTACAGACATATTTAAACAATATCATCCTCATAAACGAATTCACAACGTAAATTAGAAATAACCTATTCAGTTGTAACAACACGTTCTTTAAACAAAAATACTAACAACATACACATCCAAAATTTTACATACATAAGACATATTGAAATGTAAATCAACAATCAAGATGGTGCCTCTAACCTATAAAGTTGCACACGGCACCTAAAATATAACCAAATAAAATAACATACAAAAATACGATAATATAATCAACTTCGAATTATAAAAACAACAATACATTTATCATGTTAGAATTCTTTATAAAATATATTTGTGAATAATTTTCATTATCTTTAAATTGTTTATCATATGTCCAGTTACAAACTAGAATTATTGAAATGTAATTTATAGTAAAATATTTATGGGTAATTTAATTATACTGTTTTTATTTATTTATTTTTTTCTTAAAATATTTATCTGCACCTGAAGACGAACTGTAAACTATCAGCAAATGATCTGATACAAGTAATCAAACTGACATGTCAGACATGGCGAATATCAGTTTTTTCAACCTTACAAGTTCAATTACAAGTAAATATTTTAACAGGGACAGGTGTAGCTCTGAGCTCCCAATACTCACGGTCCCAGGTTCAAATCCCGACTTATGACAGATAAATTATTTAATCTGCTTAATTAGCCGTGGATCGACCCTGAAGTCGAGAGGTCCCTACTGTGGCACACCCAGCCCCTATAATTTGGGTATCCTTATTTAAATAATTGATTAATGGGAAAAATCTGGCGGTTGAGAGTGTTATCGCTCAAACCATCTCCTTGCTCAACTGTTGACCAAGAAACATTAGCTTCCCTACATAGTAGTGAACTCAAGCCCTTCATGGTTTGTTAGTGATATAGGCATCTTACTCTAGATTAAACTCTGATAATCAGTGTTGTATTTGAACACGTTATGAACAATAAAGATAATTTAAAACAATTTACATAATTTTATAGTATTTTTGGCAGTGTTTTATATCTTTGTCGTCATATAATTATAACTTTAATTGATCAATCCTATCCCATAGAGTCATTAAGGAATATGTTTTCTCCAAACAATAGTGCAGACTTAGACAGCTTTCATATGAAAGTGGGCACTCTCACTAGGTTGTATTCATTGATTAAACATTTTGATTATGACCTTCCCACAGTCACCTATGGTTCCCATAAGGTCTAGTGCAAGGAAAAGTGCAAACAAACCTAATTTGGATGGTATTTTCTCATATCGTACGTGGAGCTGTATGGTCGTAAAAAAAAAATAATACATATTGAGTTTTGGTAACTTCTGAACGTAAGTTATCATTTGTTCCATATATAATCAAACATTATGTATATCTTTTTCCATTTTTTTAACTATAGGTATAAAGTATCGTGTGAATGTGCCTTCTGATCTTTATTATAAATGTCCTTAGAATATTATATTTCTCGATAAATAAGCTATAAAAATAAATAAAATATATGTATTTTTTTCATGAAATAAATTTTATATATATAATTAAATATATGAAATTGTAAAAACATATTCTGGTAGTTCTTCTTCAACTATTTAATTTCATCAAATTACCGACCTGAATTTAATAAAATAAAAAAAATGTGAGGTCATTCGTTAATGAAACAGAACATTCATATATTCAAATGTAAAATAAACGGCTGTGAGATTAAAAAGGGTTATCATAAATAATAATCATATATAGATCAAATATAATAATAATATCAATGTATATTTTTTGTGAATCAAAAATAAATATTACTTATAATGGAAATATAATGAAATTGAAAAACAATTTTCAACCAGTATTTCGAAATAGTTTAAATCATCATCAGTGCCATTGTTTTATCAAACAAACTCACTCAATAAACACCGGAAGACAGTTGACAAGTAAAGATAAGTCAGGAATAATTAATTTAATTTGCATATCTAAACTCTGCTTAAGGGGGCAGGATCCGGTATCCAACAACAACAAAAAAAAAGTCGTGGGAATGTTGCTTTGCATATAAGCTCAACAATCTTATATTTATCTGTTCTCAGGGAATAAATTAAATGTTTGCTCTATTTGTTGATCCATTCATCTTAAGTATTAAGAATGTAGTGAGGTCGTCCTCTCAAAACGGAAGGAATTATTGATAATATGTCAGCTATAATTTTAATTTAACCAATTAAGAAAACGTGTTATTTTAAATGATTCATTAATAGGATTATGCATAGTTGTACATTATCTTACAAAAAAAAGATCATATATTTGATTGGCCCTAGTACCACCAGCATATAAAAAAAAACACCTGTACCACTACAACCCAAGAAGGGTCTTGGGTTCAGTACTATTTAGGGAAAGTACTGTTTCAAGGCCAACGGTTGTGCAGGAAGGAAATCGGGTCAGGATCACGCTCAACCGCCAGGTTTCCCATCCTAATTAATTAGTTTTAATAAAGGGTACCTATTATGTAGAGGCTGGGTGTGCCCCAGGAGGGTCTCCCTACCCCAAGGTCGCCCCACGGCCAATGAAACAGAACAAATAATTTTTCTGCCATGAGCTGGAATTGAACCTGGGACCTTGAGCATTGGAAATTTAGTGTCCTACCACTGAGCTATCTCGCTCCCTACCACCGGGGTATAAATATATATATATATATATATATATATATATATATATATATATATATTTCTTTATACACAGAACAGGGATAATTTGGTCTAATGAAACGTTTATGTGAAAAATCACGTTTTTATGGTAATGTAACTTTATATACTATCGTCAGTTTATTATAAAAATATTCAATTTTACTGGATTTAATTACTATTTTTCTCTCCTCAGTTCTTCCCAATAATCTTATTTGTTCCAGCTAACGAAACAGCAGGATCCAGTTTTACTCTAATCAATTACTATTTTTCTTTCCTTAGGTCTTCTGGATTACAATTATTGTTTTTTCAGCTATCAAGCCAGACCTAAGTGAATAAGGAGATGAATGTAGTTTTAGCATTCTATTGTTCAGGTGGACACTTTGGATGGCGTCGTAACATGTCTGATGGCTAAATTAGGTAAGTTATGGAAACATTATTTTACATATTCAATAAATTTATTTTTATCTGTACCATTACATGAAAATTGATTGGTTCATTAGTGTGATGAATGATAAGCATCAATTTTCTTTTCTTTTTATGATAGGACTTTTCATAATTTAGTATTGATTTTTAAATAAATGTGGTGCATTGAATAAAAATATTTGAGCAAAAAGTGACATTTCATAACCTTAAAACATTAATAACTTTGTTGCGAGTTAATGTGAGGTGGTAGTCAGTTTTTATGATTTTCATTGCCAACGTTTCAACCTAAGCTTGTGTGTCATCATCAGGACACATAACCTGCACTGAAGGTGCTCAAGTCAGAGATGAGCAAATGCTACTCTGACTACTGAGTACCTAATATTTGACTCAAATCCTGATCTTTTTTGAGTATCAAAGAATTTAATTACTACTTCAGTTGAAGTCAAACGATTAGCTGAAGTAGTGATTGAATTTCCAATAGTGATTCAATTTGAGTAAAATACTTAGTACTCAGTACTCAAAGTAGCATTTGCCCATCTCTGGTTCAAGTAATGTGCTCTTGAACATCTTCAGTGCTGGCAACATGCCCGAATGACCTAAAAGCTTGGGTTGAAACTTTAACTATAAAAATCTTAAAAACTAACTGCATGCTAAATATGTACCTCCGATGATATGTAAAACAGTCTACTAACTTCCTTCACTACGAACTTTGGTGAATTTTTTCTTTGTAAAATCAGAAAATTGTAACCTTATTTTAATTGCATTTGATATATAAAAGGATTTGTCAATTTTTATTAAAAAATCCATCATTTTATTACAGAAAGATAAAAACTTCATCTGAATGACTTTAAATGCTTGCTGTTTATTGCTGTAAAACTCAAGTTACATTTCTTGTATCCATCATAAGAGAGCTTGAGCATTTTAACAAACTTTTAAAATTATCATTTAAAATATCGTACACTTCCTTGCTCACGTTTCCATTTAACGCTCGCACATTATCTTTCTTATCTGACTTGTAGCGTATTGTCCACTCTCTTGTGTGTCCTCGTAGTGGCATGTGCTACATCCGGGACGGCTATCTACAGAATGTGTGTACCAGATCCTCCAGAGGCTGGCGAAGCATCCAGATCAAAGACAAGAAGAAGAAAGGGAGATGCTACGTGAGATTCTGGAAGTGGAAGGAAGGCTTCTGCCGATCTACACACAATGGTTTGTCCTTTCAGTTTCGGCCCCGTCTAAGAAAAAAAATCCGAGAGAAACTAGAAGATAATAAAAAATATTTTTTCGTGTTAAAAATAGTTTAGTTTTTTTTAAATTGTTTGTTTTCAAAACAATACGACCGCAGTATTTACTTAAATTTTATATCGGACCTCCATATCGCTTGTTTTGTATTCAAAGACAAAATACTTTGGTCACATAAGGTTATGATTTGCCTCAGAATTTATTATAACGATTTAGAAAAGCATCTGTTTTTAGCAATTGTAATGAAATTAAAATATTTATTTCATGAAATCAAAGTAAACAAATGTATAAAAAAATAAAATATACCCATATTTATAATCTTCCACAAATAATATGAGTTACATATGAATACTTGTATATGCAATACTTTGATACATATGATTGTTTGATTGAAATTGATATTGATGAATAATTTGATATTAACGAAATCTAGATGGGATTGTATACTTCTCTTAAAGAAAATAAAAAACAAAAAATGATGCGACTGAATTATCACTGTTTTGTCTCGATTAATTTACATAAACATTATTAGTTTGTCATAAGGTAGTTAAATTCGGAAAATAGTAGGTACGTTTTTCAGAAATAATTTACGAAAATAAGGTTCATAACATGGTAAGAATGCACAATTTGAGGTATATTTTGAATTTGTCAGCTTGACTTGACTTGAATTTTGAAATATTAAGAAAAAAACTCGAATCTTAATTCGTACCTATTACGATAATAATGGGAATAATTTTTTAGTTAATATAATAATTAATGATGGGACTGTTATGATATTTCCAGGATATAGGAAAGACAGTATCCAGCTGCATCTTTTCCCGAAATTGATTGAGATAGCTTAACATGGAAGCAGATCTCTCATCCTGATCCTTTTATCCTTTTTATCTCCTTCAAGAACTGATAGACATGCTAGGAAATGATTTATAGTGTAGGCGAAGATAATTGGGTTATTCGTGCAACCCGTGCTAAGTATTTTAAACTTCCTTAATTTGTTAGCGTCTAGAAACGTATTTAAGTTTAGTGTGTTAAATGTGGTAACCAGCAAACTCGATTTTAACACGGCCTGGTGTCTGTTAAAGCTGGTGTTAACTTCGGAAATGTGCAGGGGAGGTTATTATAAGGTTTCTGTTTACTAATTTTGCAGTACGCGGAATGGAACGTAAGAAAAGATACGGTAGGAATCTGGAAAAGGTTAAACAAAAGAAAACAATAATGTATATACATAGTTATGGAATACCTGATCAATTCGAAGTTGATACTATTTTTGTTTTTTTTAATTTCTTTATAAAATTATATTAGCCACTCTTCATGTATTAAACAGTGTTCATATAATAAGAAAACAAGAGCAAATGTAGTCCAAGTTATCACAAACGGAAGTTTAATTGGATTTGGAGATTCAGTAATGGGTCCATTTGGGTTTGTCTATTTTTGGTTGGTATACGTCGGCAAGTAGAGTTCTGTTATTAACTTACTTGAGAGTTAATATTTTTGATAGTAAAGATTATATGGTTTATGAGAGATTTTCTTTAAATGAAAGATACATTTGTGAGGTCAACTAGGAGTTTAAGTGTATGTTTATACTTCCAAACTATTCAATGGTATGATAACGTCTTTTTGAGGAGCTAATTTGTTTCATTTCTATAAGTGGGCAACAAGTCATCTTTTGATGAAAAATATGATAGATGGAAGGTATTGCTCCATTTTTTTTTTTTTTTTTTTTTTTTTTTTTTTTTTTTTTTTTTTTTTTTTTTTTTTTTTTTTTTTTTTTTTTTTTTTTTTTTTTTTTTGTCCGATGTCTAAATTAAAGCTCACGTTATTCGGCTTAATAACATTTCTATTACCGCAGAATTTGCCAGTGATGCAACACCGCCATATCTTGAATATATAATTACAGCCACGATTCCTCTCCCCAGCGGGGACTGGAAATTGCTGTACTAGATTACAACACGACTATCTAATTAGTGGAGCCGGGGATAGTGAAGTTATGTCAACCGGGTTCTAGGGGCTAATGAAGTCTGTCAGGGAAAGGATCCTATCCGCCCCGGAAGAGGAGAGTACTCCAGCAGGAGGGAAAGCAACAACTGGAGGATCCTTTGACAATGGATCAATGGTGCTAATCAAGAGGATAATTTGGTTTAGTACAAGGAAACTATCGAAACTCTTTTTATGGAATTCCAAAGCCACTGTTTTAAAAAATGGAGGTGATTTAAAGTATAGTAAGTTTAATTTATAGCCTAGTAAGTTAGGGAACGAAACAGTAAATGTATTGCAAAAAAAATGTGAGAAAGTTTTTTATTTTTTAACTTGTATATTGCGTTCAAGCATGTTAAAAAGAAAATTGCTAACGCAAGTAACCAAAGGAAAACCTTCTACAGCCATAAAAACCATATTTTTCCAAAACTGTATGATATCCAAATAGCATTGATAGGGCATTATACTTATAATTTATATGTTTCTCCTCCAAGTAAAATGCATAATATCGTAAACACTATATTTTTACGAACTTTTAAGAATAACATTATTTCATATATCACACAATGTTCAATATTTTAAGTAATGTTAGAATATAATCATTTTGTTCCAAAAAAAAAACAAGAAAAAAAAACCTTTCAAGTTTAAAATAAAAAAATTCGAACATGAACCATCGTTTATTTAACTTCTATTCTTTATTCTAATGACGCACTATTATTGTCAATGGTTGACAGTTGACAGAAATGATTTTACAATAATTAAAACATAATTGTGTATTGATTAGTTGACTGTAGTGAATAATTGAAGAGAAGGATGGTAGGGGTGATCAGCGAAAATAAAAAATAAATAATAATAAAAAAATTAAATGTAATTAGTTATTTTTACTGTTTTTTATTTTGACTGATCACCCGAACCATCCTTCTTTTCAATTACAAAATAGATCATTAAGAAAGATAGTGGAAGGAAGGACAATAAAAAGAGTTAGATAGACAAGACTTCATGAAGAATTAAAAATAGAGGAATATTAAATTTTACGAATGAGTGAAAAAAATTCCAATCCCTATCGATGGCAGGGTTGAAAAAAAGAAGTGAGCCCCCTTATTCAAATATTAGTTAGAAGAAATAAATAATTGAATTTAACATAAATAGAAAGAATTACATAGACCTACCTAACACGGAAATTTGTAGAAGAAGAACAATTTTCAAGATATTAGAACACGTTTGAAAAGGAAGTAAGAGGCTGTGAAAAATAAAAAACAAATAAAAGTTAAACGAAAAAACATGTACCTTGACGCTATAAATTAAATAGTTTTATCATCCTATAAATGATGTACTCATGAGTCTTGTTAGTATTAAGTAATAATTATTATTTTTATTTGGTTAGTGTTTTTTTGGACTGCTGATGTGGGACGTGCTGTCTCTGATCTACAACAATAAATGTAGAGTACCATATATACATAAATACATACATGTTACATATGTATATAAGAACAATAATATTGTACATGATTCTTTTTTTTTATTCTGATAACACCTGAATTGGTGCAATGTTATTTAGGTTAGAAAGTTATTATAATATGAGAGTCTAAAAATTATGTTTTGAAAGCTTTCTACGATTTAGAAATCAATCCGTTATTTCAACACACTAATTAATAGAACAAAAATATATTTTTTTTCAGTAAAAAAAGGTACAAAAAATATATACAATTCATTATGTTAAGGTTCCACTTTGTACATATCAGTACTTACCGAGGAAACACTCAACACTAACCTTTAAAGAAACAAAAGCATTTGTTTTAAATCAATTTATCAAAAATTGTATGTCAGTCTATTAAAAGTGGTGTATAATTATTAATTATTAACTGTATTGATTCTATTGTTGATTTAAAAATTGAAAGTAGGTTCAGCGCCCTGATCTCAGAGAGCAATTACATAAAGTGACTTATAATTCAGCGTGTGGGACGATCACTTAGGATTTTATTCTTGTCACTCTGTTAACGATTATCATATGAATAACTCACAAAAAGGAGGAGGAGAAAGTTTAAATGTAGAACAAGGAGGAGGAAGAAGGATATAATTAGAATGGATGGGCATTGTTTGGATTATCCAGGATGAATTGCTATAATATTTTTTATTTTGAACGCATTTATTTTTATAAATTCATTGTGATCTAGTGATACGATGCTGAAACTAACAACTAGTGTGGCGCATCATAATTTTTTTTAAAAAAAGTAAATAAACCCTAATTATAAAAATAAACTTACAATTATTATAAATTATGACAAATCAATATACTATATATTTTTGGTTTTTCTAGATAAAAAAAAAAAATTGAAGTTTTTCATATAATTCACTTAGTTTATGAGGAAATCTTTTTTTCCCCATTCAACGAAAACAATAATAATAAAAGTAATTCTGTAAGAAAGAAAAGCAAATTTTATTTTGGAATATTTAGTCCCCTAAGAATATTTAAAATGAACAATAGAAGTTACATTTGTCTGGCACAAAATCTATAACTTGTTGCATATATGATTTAATATTCTTAATTAAAGTTATCCGATACAGTCTGATTTGAATCTATAAAACAAAAATTGAATTTTGTTCACTTTCTGAAAAAGACAATTTTCCGTCATTGATAGGAGGCCACCACTCGCGAATCCAGGATTTAATTTTTTGGGGGAGGGAGAAGGGGGCTTCAGCCTGAAAGATTTTTTTTTTCATATATATGACGATAATTACTTCGGAAAAACAGAAAGAAACTAACTACCTATAAGAAATGGTGTTTAAGTGATTCTTGAAGTCCTATTAAATGTAATTACACGAACAATAATACTTTGAGAGATAGTTTTTAATATTTTTTGTCTGTAAAACATGGTTATATTTTACCGGAGGGAGAGAGGGTGGGGGGAGGCTTCAGCCCGAAAGTCCCCCTCCCTCTCTCTCTCTCCTTTAAATCCGCCTGTGGTGGAAGTCGTTCTGCTAAACGGCACATCCTTTTAAAGATGGGAAAATAATATAGTGAAAAGTCTAATAAAATAATGAGGATGCTGAAGAAAATAATTTCACATAGCTCCCATAAGTCAGATCAAAGATATAAGATGACAGTGATTTAAAATTACGATCTTCCCAAAACTGTACCATGAATTGATAGTGTAGTGTGGAAGCCTTGTAAAATGAAATGCGCTTTAGTTAATAATTG